GTTCCATCCTCAGCAGTCGGTGGTCAAAAAATCACTGCATCACTGGCCGATGTCCAGACATTAAACCGACCACGACGAAGTAGGTTAAGAGTTTTAAGACCAGATTAAATAAGCGTAACGAGCACGATCGTGGCTGTTAAGCCAATTGAAGTAGCTGCGACAGTACGTAAGGCAGATTACCCTTACCGGAACTGTCCGGTATTTTGGTCTCTATACCAGTGTTTCCTAGACGCAATTTTTTCCCGAACTGGCGACCGAATAGGTTGGTACATGCAGTTTATCTTGCCTATCATTTTGATATATACTTAGCAGTTGTTAATTTAAATCTGTTCGTTTAATTTTATTAACTAAATGAGGATAGGGCGCGAAATAAGTCGGCTCCAAAATTCGAAGGTGCAGAGTTCGAGTCCCGTAAATGGACGAAGTTTGTCTTATTCGCTAATTCCCTTGAGCAAAGTACTTACCCCACGTTTCTTCTGTGCAGCTAACCAAGAAATAAAGAGCAAAATTTTTTCATATGGTCATACCAGAATGAGAGATGTGTATGACCACGGTGGGCAATAGAAATGCCTTTCATGTTTGCACCTCGATTTGATCCACTGATAGCTAATTATTAAGTCTGATCACCAGCACAACCTCTAACGCGCAGGTAAGAATCAATTCCATTAACATTTTTACGAGATAAAATGTTTCATAAAACTTTAGCCAAATTTCTTTTCCGACGATCTTTCAAAAGCCCTCGGAGACAACTGCGCAATCCTCATTTGGACCGCCACCCGGAGTTTGAGGACCACCGTTCTACGTGATCTAGAAGGCTGCAAAAAATCGCCAAAATGTCACATATCGACCAACTTGCAATAGTTCTTGAGGGTTTATTCCTCTTCCCCTCCCGAATGAACTGACAAACAATTACTCGCCAAAAGACTGCTCAGAGACAATGGGTAACAGAGAAAATAGGTGCAGAATAACGCGTAGGCCGACTCAACGCCTACGACTCGGTAAACCACAGGATGCGATAGGCAAACGTGTCCAGAACATCATCAAGACCTTCGCGATGTGAGAACGATAGAACGATGTCAATCGCCGCATTTACCAACGTCTATCTCACAAAACGAAGAAGATCAATCCAGATATTATTAAAATTTGTCAGACTCGAAGATCCATCGAACTTGTTGCACAGTCGAGCAACGGGCACCAAGTGTTCCTCGGAAAAGCATTCGAAAACGAGCTTAGAACGGCAATTAAAAGGAAGACTACACCATTTGTACCAAGCAATGATATTACACGGCTTCGTAGGGAAAATCCAATTCTAAAGATGGGCAAAGGAACGATAAAAAATAATACAAGCCTGCAACCCAGTCCAACAACTTGAAGATGAAGGGCGAGTAATTCTGCAAGGAATTAGAAGGCACAATGGAGAAGAAGTCTAAGAACACGATTGTCCAAGGACTTCAACGCAATGGTCGGAAAAGAACGATACAGAGGTATTTACTCGTAAGTACGGGAAAGGCCCAAAGAAATGAATGCGGAGATTTCTTCGCGACTTTCTCTATGGAGGCAACCACCTCCACGTAATGAAAACTGTTTTGTAGAAAGCGACAACGGGTATGGAGAGGCCCAGATGGAAAGTCTTTGAGATAAATCTGGTGGACAAGAAACGAAGACGAATAATATCACACATCGCTCATAGGCGAGAGCATTTTCTTTACGGATAAGAACCACAGGTTTCGCGTTCCGCAGTTAAGATAGATGTTTCAGGAAAAGAACGGATCAAAAGTGCCCAAGGATGACCAATTTGGAGAACTCGGTTCAATCTGCAGGCCATCGCGGAGAAACTGTTATTAATGAAACTTGAAATGAACGTCATCAGGGATGTATATGTGAATTATGATCGTTTTGTCAATGCCATTAAGATTGCGATTAGTTGGTCAAGCCAGACAGCAAAGTCAACGCAAAATCAA